CCGCAGCTGTGGTCCTAGGCCTTCTCTCAAGCAGCTGTTTCTTCCTCTTTATCACATTCCCCAAACCAAAGTAGAATAGATCATGGTTGCCTAGATGGCCTCCAGAGAAGTGATAACAGATTAGATACCATAAATGTTTGCTGGAAATTTCAAGTCTTACACATTTGCCTGTAGGACTATAAACTGAAAGTGATATCCACACTTAGCATTTTTATTTATCATTATCTACTTTAGATAAATACAACATGCTAGATTTGGGGACTTATCTGTGGGGGTCTTTATATATTTGGAGTAATTTTTAGCTTCCAAAAAACAATAAAATAAAAGCAATCCACTGAAAGAAAGAGCACAGCAAACAGCTCAGAGCCAGAACTGCAATCACCTCACTCTCCAGATCAACATATGTGGTGATGAATGACAAATTTATTTTTCTACAAAGTTTGTATATATGTAAAACTGCTGAAGTGCATCAAGATGTCAAGTGCTTTTGGTGGCCACCCAGGCTGCTTTGAAAGATATCCAGATGAAAGCTCCACTCTAGAGGTGGACAGAGCAGCAAGGGTGCTTTCTAGAGACTCTGGAAGGCGTTACCAACAAGCAGAGGGGGCTGCCCCTGCATGTGTCAAATGCTAATGATCATTCTAAATACTTGTCCCAAAATCGAGCTGTAGTAACACGCTCTCTGCATTACTTACCCTAATCGATTTGTTGCCTGGATTGATCGTTGGCGTGTAGGTTACCATTTCCTCAAGTACAATGACTAAGATGCTGATCAGTCTCTACCCCCCAAGCCCGTGCCCACAGCACCAAACTGTCTTTACAACTGTGGAACACAGATTTTTTGGAAATTACTACAAAAGCAAATTTTTAATCGTTTCCCCTTAAGTTGATTTAATGATATTGTTCACTTTCTTCTGAAGTTCAAAGTGTTGGAAAACAGCTACTTTGTGTTTCTTTTTTAGAAGAAACTAAATATATTTTGACTGTCCTCGTTAATAGTTTCATCATTCTACAAATCAAAAACTTGAAGAGGAGGGTACCCCATGGGATGTATTTTGCTAAGGCAAATGCTGAAAGAATTGGGAGAGAGAAAATAATTCCAGAGACAACTTCATTTTTTTCCTTACTGCCCAATACATGAAGAAATGTACATACAAATGACTTACCCATTTGCTTTGGCTTCATGGCTTTAGGAAAGCACAGTCACTTTAATATATTCATATACCTATAAGATTGCTACTTTCTAGAAAGCTTAATTAAGAAATAGTCATAGTTTGCTTATTTTCCCAAAAATGGGAAGATATTACAAAGTAATATAGTGGGTTGTGAATTCACTTAGAGAAGTACATTATCCAGTTGTGAATTCACTTAGAGAAGTAAATTCTCAAAACTTCTACAAATGCCAAGAACTCTCCTCTCATCTCTGCAAGTCTTTTCTTCTGCTTGACTGAGCAGGGTAGCTACTTTGCTGATCATTAAAAGACGGTATAACATACTCTATGGAAACCATATCAGTGGACATCTAGTTGGCCTTGCTTCTTCCTTTATACCTGTAGTCATAACGATTTTTATTACTCATCGACCTCATCTTCTCAGCAGTAGGTTATTGTAGTGTGAAATGTCTGCACACAATTAGTTCAATTGGCTTAATCCTGTTTCTAAGAAGGCCAAGGTCAAGGGTTTGATTCAAACTGAATATTTCTAGTCCATAGTCATTCCTAACCCTTGTCAGTTCCCTTACACATGTGTCTTCTTAGTCTCAAGGAGAGTAAACCAGAAGGAATAGATGAATATATCAAAATCCACCACTTCTTTTAGAATATGTTCATGGGTAGGCCTTACTCCCAGTGAGTCAGTAGCTCTTTTTTTTTTTTTTTTTTCCTTATCATGATGAGCAACACTTATAATGAGGAAAAATGACTTTTCTCTGGAATACATGCTGAGAGAAAAGGGAGAACTCATAATCCTCCGCAGGAAGCATTTATCTTACATGTCAGTATTTATAGGGTGCTCTGTGGTATAGCAGAACCAGGCTCATGATCGGGGAGAACATTTACAGATCCAAGATAGTGGATAAGTGACCAGGACTTAAAAAAATACAACTGCTGGAATATTCAGTGTTTGTTGATTATTAGTAGACCTGACTATATTATGATGATCCCAAGTAAGCTAAACATGCACTTGCAATAAAATGCCAAGCAAGAGGGAACCATTAAGTAAATTACATCTTCCCTGGCAATAAATGTTAAAATATGTCTCTTTATTCATTCATTGTTCACTGCAGAATCGGGTCATTTAAGGTAAAGTATTAATAAAAGTATTAGATACTTAAATTTAAACAAAATTAAGTGATCATAAAAAGAAAATACCCATGTCTTTAAGTAAAAAATCTCCTGAGCTGGTTGTTTTACACATAGGCTATTCAGTTTGTCTAAATTATGTAAGAAGCTTGGAGTAAATTTATTGTTAACATTCTTTATTTTTTCTTAATTTGCCAAGCAGCATCATACCTCTGGAGCCACCAAGTTTATGAATATGCATTCATTAGTCTTTTGATATTCCATTTGAAGATGACTTCTCATTTCCTCATGTTTGTCCCAGCTACTAATTCTCTATAAAATGGAATCAGCCACCAGCATTGTTAATTAATTTCCCCTTAAGATAGTATTGGTTGGTAGACAGCAATGCTGAAGCACACATTTTTTTTAAAAAAAGCAAGCTTGAAATCTCTTTTGAATTGCATTTTGCAATTTTTCTGTGACCCTGCAGGCAAACATCACATTAAAACTAAATTTCTCACTCACATATTCAGTTACAAATATGACCATAGTATGACAGTCTTCCTGCATGCATAATAAATATATGGAGATTTTGTTGCCTGATGGTAAATATTTCCAAAATATGATCTAGCCCAAAACTTTGCAAAGAGTTTGATTTAACGAACCCAATCAAGCTAATTTAGTTTTTCTTTCCTTTTCACCTCTAAGAGACTTGTTGAACCCTATTAGGCAATTTTCATCTGAACGCTTACCCATTAAAGAAGGGAGGGGGGAAGTTATCTTTTGCAAATGGTGAATTGCCAAAGATGAGTAAATGCTTCTATGGCCTTCATTCCTCTCCCCAGTTCCTAATCCTTGAATTTTTGTCAAAGAAAGATAACTTTCCAATTGCTTACCCCTCCCATGGAGCACTTCCCAGCTGCTTGTCTCTTTTTTTCTGTGCCCTGCACCACACACACACACACACACACACACACACACACACACACACACACACGCAGGCACGCACGCACACTCCCAAGGACATCTGCTCTTACTTTCCTGGTTGCCAAAGACAAGATCTTTTCCAATAGCTCAGTCAGAAATTGGCCTGGAAGAGTCTCTCTCAGAAAGGTCAGGCTGATACATCTCACTCAAAAGTTAGGTCAAAATGTACTTCAAGCTTTACAACCATTTGGGACCTTCACATTCTAAGATAAGTTTTAGGTTTGAGGGGTTCTAGGTCAAGCACACGGAAAGTAAACTTGTAGTGTCTTTTATGCACCATTGATGAGTCTCACTTGGCTGATTCCAAATTCTTATTCTTAGAAATCCTTGCTAAATCTGAATTTGTTATACAACTTGTAAATTTCCACTCAACTACTCAGTGCATTTATCACAAAATTGATGAGGTATGATAATATAATTTGTCACATAAAAATCAAAACTTTAGATATAACATAAAGTATAAGACCAGAAGCAGCAATTTAGGACCATATATAAGGCTGTCTCTGGTAGCACCATCCTATTTTGAGAACAGAAATCATTAGCATTTGGAAGTGAGTCTTTTTAATATGTCCCAGAAAGGTAACACCCTATTAACTCAAACTGTAAAAGTAATATCAAAACTTTTTTGCCATAAAGTTCTTTTCTTCCATATTCAAAGTTAGCTGTCTTTATATGATGAAATATTTAATGTGTAAGAAAAGAAAAAACATCTTTCATGTAGCTTCTATTAAGTGAGTCTCATATTTTTTAGAAGATTGAAGGAATATTTTAAATATAATTTTTCTATTACAAATTAATCATTATCTCCTATAAGTAAGGTGCAGAAAAAAGGCACTTACATATTTGAAAATGGAGGCTCTGTTATAATGATCAAGCATCAATTCATTGCTTGATCATTACACAGTCAGTTATTTATCATAGTATATGACTTTATGTTATTCATTAGATTTATTATTTAATCTTATGTGAATGGCCATACACTAAAACTTGTAAAATAACCAAAACTGGCACCTGATGGCCTATTTCCTTCTTGATTCTAGTTTGTTCATCTGTGGAATTTATTTAGTAACATAGGACAAAATGCTAAATATTGATGAGATAAGCTCACAAGTACAACATACAGTAACTAGAGAATCTTGAAAAGAAATCAATGCAATAACAAGATAAATGCCAAGTTTGCCTTATTTGCACTTCACAGGAGGCTTTAAAAATACCCAATACAATGTTATTTCAGTTTTACTACAATTTTTAGATTTTGTTTAAAGTGCAAATGGAAATCCCAACCGCCAATTCTTTTCTTTCTTCTTATTTATTATCTATTTATTTTTTGAGACAGAGTCTCACTCTGTGGCCCAGGCTGGAGTGCAGTGGTGCAATCTTGGCTCACTGCAACCTCCACCTCTCAGGTTCAAATGATTCTCCTGCCTCAGCCTTCTGAATAGCTGAGGTTACAGGTGTACACCACCACACTCGGCTGATTTTTGTATTTTTAGTCAAGACGGGGATTCACCATGTTGACCAGGCTGGTCTCGAACTCCTGACCTCAGGTGATCCACCTTCCTCAGCCTCACAAAGTATTGGAATTACAGGTGTGTCTTTTTATTTCAGACTAGGCTCTTCCTAAAATATCCATCTAGTTTCTAAAAATTGTTTTCTCGATCTTATATCTTTCAAATAAGGTGGTTTTACTATGACACTACGTGTTTCTAATGAGTCTTTTTATATTTTTTAAAGGTCTCCTTCAAACAACTGCAGATGAGTTTTGCTTTTACTATGCAAGAAAAGATGGTGGGCTGTGCTTTCCGGATTTTCCAAGAAAACAAGTCAGAGGACCAGCATCTAACTACTTGGACCAGATGGAAGAATACGACAAAGTGGAAGAGATCAGCAGGTTCATAAAGATAAATGCTCTTTAATCTTTTAAAAAAAAAAAAAAAACCCAACTGACAAATCTTGTGGGTTTGACAGTGAATCAATTGTCTCTGCTTATGTTCAGCAGCTATATCCTCCAGATGCTTTATTTTTTTCTTTGTGGTAGTTTATTTCTCTAAAATCATAGCTTAAATGCTTTTAATACTTAGACTACTCATCTTATATTATGAGCTTGTCTTCTCTATGACTCGTGTGAATTTTATGGGTATAGTTTTAAGCCTGAATTTTACAATTGTTGTTAGCCTATGGCACTGTGAAAGTGTTCAGCGCAATTACTATTAACAAATCAGATTTCTATAAATAGATCTTAAAGCTTTCTCTCTACGTATCTTCTGTAAGGTTTATTTATTGTGAGTAAGGCTCATTTTAGTTATTGTCACTGAAAGATGAGAAAATAAGATTATGATATTTGAAAACATATACATGTTTTGATTCTCTTATTTTACTTTCTGATAGGGGACTATTTTGTCGTTTACCATTGAAAGAATTTAAAAGAACCACTTAAAAGAATTATATTGTGACCCTTGGGTTAGCAGCACTTCATGGTTCTCAAAACCATGATTCCTACAGGAAACAGAGTTTGAACAGGATGCCAAGTGCATCCCTTATCTCCTTCATCTCAAGAAAGCTTACTGGTTTTCTTTAATTTGTTTAGAAAGCACAAACACAACTGCTTCTGTATTCAGGAGGTTGTGAGTGGGCTGCGGCAGCCCGTTGGTGCCCTGCATAGTGGGGATGGCTCGCACCGTCTCTTCATTCTGGAAAAAGAAGGTTATGTGAAGATACTTACCCCTGAAGGAGAAATTTTCAAGGAGCCTTATTTGGACATTCACAAACTTGTTCAAAGTGGAATAAAGGTTGGCTTTTTAAATTTTATATATTTTTGTGGTGGCTATGTTAATTTTATTTTAGTGTTACCTTCCTCAGTGAAAGCATTTCTTTGTAATAAAAGAAAGAATCTTGCAGGAGAAAATAAGGGGGCAACATAAGGAAACAGTAATTATGGCACCTGAAAAACTAGGACAGTGACATTAAATTTCTGTTATTTGTTGACTGTGGTGCTGTGCAATCTAATTGATATTTGACATACTTTCCCTATGTAATTGAAAAATTTAAAGGAATCTTTGACTTTATAAAGTATTTGTTTAAATATTGTTTAATGGTCATAGCACAGGATTGTACATCAACATTTGCTAGTAGAAGCAAAGAGATCTTTTGGTTATTTTGGCAACTGCAAATCATTCTTTCACCATCTCTGTTTTCGAGTCTGTCTCATAAAAACTGCTACTTATAGTATGACTTCCTTGTACAATGTTTCTACAGGTAAGTCAAATATTTCTATAACTAGCCATCTATATAACATATATTGCCCTTTTTCACTTCTCTAATTTGAATTCTCGTGTTAAATAACCTAGGTATGTAAACAAAATTATTGTCAAGTTTGTTTCATAAGAGTACAACATTAGCAATACTAAACTATAAAGGAAATGATGACATTCTAAAATGAAGACACATTTAATAGCGCATTACTGTTTTAGAGTGAAACAAAGTAACAATATGATTTGGAAAGAACAGGCTATCCTTTTCACTTCTTAACTGGAAAAAAAAAAAGACTGAAGGAGGATTTATAGTCTCCTGCTCACATGGAAATGAAATTTTTCTTGCTCTGTTGTGCTCTACTCAGTGGTAAGAAGACCCAAATCAGAAGAAACAACTCAGAAAAAATATAGATACATTCCTGCTATCTATTTCATTTTCTTATTGTGTGAGAGTTTAGATGACTTCAGTCTTTAATTTTTACCATTGTAAATAATGTTTATTATTCTTGTGCGTTTTATTTAATCTTATCATGGATGACTTCCTAAACATGCATTCACAGGAGGGGCATTACTCAGTTGAAGATTATAACCATAATACTTATTGCCAATTTGCTTTAAAAATGTTTTCAGATATTTGAGAGAATATTTGAGAGAATTAATATTAATATTAATATTAATTTTCAAATGTGCTTTGAGTAAAACTATTTGTATGAAAAAGATATGTATGATAAAATATAGATGTAAGAAGGGCTCAGAATACTGGAAAATGATTTTAGAACAAGAACTGATGTTCTTGTTTCTAACTCAATTTGACTGCCTTTTAAATATGTAATATGTAAATATTACATGTGTAAATATGTAAATATAAGAAGCCCTTTTAAAGGGTTTCTTCAGCATTCCTATTTCAATTTACCCTCTTCATAGGGATCTCTGATGATTCATTAGAAAATTCAGTTCTGACATGGAGGTGTTTCATCATGCAATAAAATTGTGCAAGCAAGGATATAATAGTTTCTTGGTTCTGAGTATGTGTGTTCTGCAGTCTTCTAGGAATTCTGCAGAACTTGGCCAAATTTGCAAGAAAACTTGCAGAATTTGGACCTCCTTCTCCAGAAGAGCTCCAGGGTTTCTGGGACCTAAAATATATTTCAAAATCTATTATTCTAGTGAACTTACATGAAATATTGTAAAGTGCAATATTTTAAATTTCTTTAGTGTTTTAGCACTAATTATGTCAACAAGATAGGAATATATCACATGGATGACAGAGTGTGTATAGTGAGTAATGAGATCACATCCTTCTTACCTCAAGCAGGTTATGCTGCAGGTAACCTTCATTTCAGTGTCTATTGAACTCCCCATAGAAGTCCCTGATTGGAAGAGTTAAGGCCACTGTCAGTATGATGAGGCAGATGCTGCCACATTCATGAGTTGGTCATAGCACTGATTTTGGTGGTTGCCCCTCAAAGACATGTAATGTAAAAGCATTTTCACAGCTATTTCTGGCTTCTTTAATATATTAAAGTTATTTTATGTTTAAGACAGTATTCTGTGTTTGTCAATAAACATTTTGCATAAATAATGCAAATAAGAATTTTCATTAATTATTATATATATCAACTCTTCTCTATTTTTTTAGTTTTAAAATTCTAAGAGGGGGCATAAAGCTGTTTAACAGACTGAAGTATTAATTGCAATACTCAAATCACAGAATTGGTAATACATACTAAACCCAACCTCCACATATTTGAAATTGAGAATAACACAAACCACAGTGCAGACCCCCTTCACAATTACATAAATTGATGACCAGTAGGAATATGTTAAGTCAGACATAAGAAAGAATTCCTGATAATAAGAGTTTCTGAAATCTCTTGCTGGCTATACAAAAAATCTGGAATTCTTTGTCTGCTAATGTCGATTAAGAATTGGTAGTAATTTCTGTCACATGGCAAAGGCTGACCTTTTTTGTGGCCAAGAGTTGGACTTGCTTATCTCTTTAAACCTCTGCCAACCCCGATTCTTATAACTGCTTAAGACAGATACCATCAGCCAAGAGCCAATCATAAGGGAACTTGAACAACTCTTCCTAAATGGCTCTGACTGAAGCTAAAAATATGATGTCTTATTTTTAAACACCAAGATCATGCTGCCTGAATTGTAAGAACTTGTAGTACCTTAGGGGCTAATCTGTCTGCAGCTCCCAGAGAAAAAGTTAATCTGAAGAATATGCACAGCACAAGCTAAAGAATTAACTTCTTTTTGCTATAGAAACAAAGTTGTGGCATTGAGATTAAAGCATAAGTCAGGAATATGTTTTAAAAATATGTAGTGATTTGGTGTGTCTTTGATGATAGTGTACTCTGCAAGCTAATCACTGACACTGTGAAGAATGGCCCAAGTGTCAAATTGATGAGCAAACTTTAAAACTTTCATTGTGTGTGTGGCTATGTATGTGCATGTGCACATGCAGCATTATTATTGTTCTGTTGTTATTGTTTTATTCCAAAGGGCAAAATTTACAAAAATTCTACTATCTTCAGAGAGAAACACTTCTTTAAGATACCGGGTGATTTGAAATCTTTAAATTGAGCTTAATCTGAGCTCTGAATCAGAGCTTCCGGCAAGTACTAAAACCAGCTGTATCTGTGTAAAGTCCTTGGCAATGATAGACTAGTGGCTCTCAAGAATGGCTTCACGGTATAATCACCCAGGAGCTTTCAAAAATTCTTATAGCCAAGCTGGGTGCAATGTCTCATGCCTATAATTCCAACACTTTGGGAAGCCAAGGCGGGAGGATCACTTGAGGTTAGAAGTTCAAGACCAACCTGGCCAATATGGTGAAACTCTGTTTCTACTAAAAATACAAAAACTTAGCCTGGTATTGTGGCATGTGCCTATAGTCCCAGCTACTCAGGAGATTGAGACAGGAGAATCACTTGAACCCGGGAGGCACAGGTTGCAGTGAGCCGGGATCATGCCACTGCACTCCAGCCAGAGCAACAGAGCGAGACTCCATCTCAAAAACAACAAACAGATAAAAAAAATTATTATATCCCCCCAAAAATTAGAATATCTGGGTTTGGCACCCAGGTAGCAATATGTTTTTAAAGCTTTCTTAGGTAATTTCTGTATGTAGTCAATTTGAAAACCACTGATGTCAACAGCAAAACTTCTGGGTCAGTTACACATTGAATGAGACATATTTTCTCTGCCAAGCCTACACCTAAGTCCTGTTTCTGACATGACAGCTAAGAGCAGCTGGTTGGACACCAGTTGTCATTTGCCCTGTACCTTTTGTCATTTACTTAACTTATATATATTACTTATCCAACTTGAGTGAGGAATGGGGTTAACTCTGGCTGCATGTACGATGCTTGATATAAGGCATACTAAATACCATTTGAAAAAAAAAAGGTATTTAAAAATCTCAAGTTAATTCTAATTGAGAAATGGCTGTACCCATTAATTTTTTTCCGCTTTTCTTCAATTTTGGAATCTAGTGTTTAGCTAGTTGGCAAAATTGCCATTGTTCCTAATCTTAAGATATGTGCATTGTGATTATATATGGTAAACCCTTGTTACAAGTGACAAGGCCACCAGAAGATACTTTAGTGTAATTTCTCCAAAGTGCTCCTGACTGTCAAGAATGTGAAAGTCAGTCTTAGCTTTGCATGTGTGTTAAAGGAAGGACATGCCTGCACCTGTCACTTTACCGGGTGGCCCCTTAAGGAAACTAGCAAGCACCATTCTCTGCCACTTAGTTCTTGCGAGTAGCCAGAGGACGAAGAGGTTCACACCCTCAGCAGCCCTCCACTGGCAGCACACAGCGCACAAAGCTGAAAGGCTTGTCTATCATTGGAACAAGTGTCACTGGACTCCTGTCCCTCTCTATCTACTTGGATACTCATTTCAAAAGATGCTTTTAGAATCGGTCCTTTTACCAGGGGAGGAGAGAACGTAAGGCTGAAAGCTGCTGATTGTCCGGGTGACTGAGCCCATTGAGGTGGGGCTCTTGAGAGACAGCAGTCTGGGTGCCCAGGAGTCACAGGAGCATGTGCAGGAGGATGCAGAGTCCAGCAGGGCAAGCCCTAACGGGGCAGCCTCTGTTTTCGCAGGCTTGTAAATCACACATGTAATTATGAGCATCGAAAGTTTAGTGAAATCTAAGTGCTCATCAACCCTGGAGGCTGATGTTCCATTTCTCTGAACTTTGTCAAACCTAATTTTTACATTTTTTTCTTTGACTTGCAATCTTAAAGCAACCTATGAAGTGTTAGTGTGTTTTTACTTGAGTGAAATGAGTCAAAGCAGATTGAGAAGGAATTTATTTTTCAGAAGTAGTACTGGTAACATAACGTGCATATACATTATACACACATACGCATATGATTATTAGACCATGTAACAAATGCTTCCCCAGAAAAATTGCTGAGAATTCTGCTTTTGAGCATGCATTAGGTTAGAATAAAACCTGTGCTAATTGAAAGAAAGCAACAAATTATGTTTGTTAAATATTGCAATAGAAGAATCACCCT